ACTAACCTATGTTGAGTTCAAAATAAGTAAATAAAGTCAGTAGGATTTGTGAAAGTTAGATAGCCAAGGTAAAATAAAGACAGTATCCTGTATCATGTACTCTTTTAATGTGCCTTCAGGAATATTTTCTTAATCTAAGGATACCAAAACACTAAAAAGAGGTGAGAAAGCAAGGCAGAAGGTGAAAAGATATTAATGTGGCTAGGGATAGAGATAAGAAGTAATGAAAATTCTCCCAGCCAAACAAAATATTTAGAACTGATCTATTCAAGTCCTGCAGAGAGGAAAGGAAAAAAACTCTGATCTATGGCTATTCCATTTTTTAGAAATACATACTAGTGCAGTCTTTCGTTGTCCAGTTGATTCGTATTGCCATTCTATTAGCAAGATCCTTTTGTAGTTTTAGTTATTTGTTAAATGCCTACAGGTACCCTGTACTTTTAAGCATTGGGGAATGGACAAAAGAGAATAATACAAAGTAGTTCTTCAAGTAAATTTATAATCTAGCTGAGGAGAGCAGACAAAACAGAAAGCACTTCAATGTTCTGGACTTCATAATAAACCTTTTTTTTTTTTTTTAAGAAGGAGTGAGTGAATGTAGTCTGAGGTATTCAGAAAGGGCTTCAGTGGAGGAAGTACAGGGGAAAAGAGCTGGTCCTTGAAGAAAGGACAAGATGAAGGGGGGAGAAGGGGTGTTTCTGTCAGAGGGAATAGCAGCAGTGACCAAGGAAGAGAGCAGGAATTCCCACATTGTGGGCCCATCCTCTCCCCAGGACCATCCTCGTCTGGTCGGTCTTGCATAGTACCTTTCTTCATCTTCATTGGCTTTTTCCTCTCCACACACAAACATACTCAAGTCTCCTCGATCCTCAGAACAAAATCTGAAACACCTGTAACCTTTAGTTCTATCCCAGCTTGCTCTCAACCTACTGATTGCCTTCTCTTCTGTTTCTGAAATTTTTAAGTTTGACTTGACTTTATTTCTGATGTTTTCCTTAACTGCTGTTAATCTGACTTCAACTTTGCATCTTACATGCAACTGCCTTTACTTAATTCTTCAGCACCCTATTAATTATTTTTAGTTCTGGTTGGTTGCTTTTAAAAATCTTCCCTTGGATTTGTTGATTCCTTACTTTCCTGATTCTTCTTCGGTATCTTTAACATCTTCTCAATCTCCTTTCTCTGCCTGCTGTTTAGTACATTCATTGATTTGTTACACATCTGTGGAGTATCTATTAGGCACCAGGCAAGAGGGAATTGAATGACTAATGAATGTATAGTTTCCACCTTCAATGACATTTATGTATGACAGACATATAAATGGATAACTAAAATATTGTGATAAGTGCACTGATAGTCGTTGACAGAAGGCTATGAGAGAAGAAAAGGACTCAACTTATCCAGGGATGAGAGGATGGAAGTGTCCCAGAGGTTTCTTAAAGGAGGTAACACTTGAGCTAAAAAGTCTTAAAAAATGACTACGAGTTAACCAAGCAAAAGGGGGAGTTTGTGGAGTGTGGAAGGACATTTTAGGAAGAGGAAACAGCATGGGCAAAGGCAAGAAATGGCACAGCATGCATGCTTTGATGTTATCAAAACAAAATTTAGGATGTCGATGGTGGGTAAGGTGGGTGGCTGGAGAGGTATTTATGAGCTGGGTCCCAGAGGACTCTTTGTGCCTTGTTGGGGAGCTTGCCGTTCCATTTTGTAGGTGGTGGAGACACCTTGAATGGATGTGGGCTTTAGGTTTTACATTTATGAGTGGATCTCCATTGCCTTTGCCTATGTTCATTGCCTTTATTTCATCTTCACAACATAAGAAGTTAATACATTTCTAAAAAGAGTGTATTCCACTTCAAGTCATTAGCAGATTTTGGCTCATTATGTTATAGGTATATTGGGCATAAATTGTCCTTTACATTTTCTCAGATACGTTACTGCTTTTCAACAGTAATAATCTAATTTGGAAAAGAAAAGCTGACATCTTTATGTGCCTCACTTTTCAAGGTGCTGCCACATGATAGCAAAGCTCGGCGACTCTTTGTGACAAGTGGTGGACTTAAAAAGGTTCAAGAGATAAAAGCAGAACCTGGTTCTCTCCTTCAAGAATACATCAACAGTGTTAACAATTGTTACCCAGAGGAAATAGTAAGGTGAGAAAAATTGACTTTGAGAAGTTCAATAGTATAATGTAGTTTTTCTGGTTTCAAATCTAGATTTTATATCCACTGTGTCAAAATGTGGACTTTGAAATACTACATGAGGCCAATGTATACCTTTACTCTCTCTTGGTCTCTCCCCCTGTAATTAAATAATGTTCTAATTGACACACATTTCCAAATCAAACTGGAATGTCATTTAAGACATTTCTGTACTAATTTAACATATGCATTACTAAAGAGTATCCAAATGCAGAATTCAAATTAAACTAATAGTTTTTAAATTGTGAATTCCTGATTTAGAAAAGGCCTACAGATTCTGATTTTCGCAATTCCTTGAATATTACTTTTCTGCCTTAAGCTCACATTTACATTAAATGGAATATTACAAGTAGAAAAGAGATGTTGAGTAACAAAAAGAAAGTTACTATCTAAATGCAAAAAAAATTAAATAATGTTGTTTATAATATGCAGGTACCTCAGAGTAAGGTAGGAAGATGCTACTTTCAAGATTAATATTTTTTTTACATGAAATTGATTTGCAGAGCATTAAACCTAAGCCTCAGTTCTTATAAGCCTCAGGAAGAGCTATACCACTAAACCCCAAATAAATAAAAACAAAGCTATCAAGAAAAGATAGAATGATTTAAACTGAATCTTGAAAAATGCTCACAAAGAATACAAAATAAAAGGCATATTTATCTATGTTTTTCTAATCCTGCATTCATTTCTTATTTTCTTCAATATTA